TGGGTTCAGGAATCGGTTACGAGTAGGGAAAATATTGGACACCCTACAACGCCCTAAATTGATACCCTATGATGAAATTAGCATAATAAAGAATAACAGTTTGAATATTTATTCCCCTTTTTAATGGTTATTTACATGTTATTTTGAGTTACAATTGCTTATAAAAATAGGGGTTTAGATCCCACACGTTTCGAAAACAGTATGTTCATTGTGCATACAAAGTGTATCTCTCAACATTATATGTCAAATTTTTAAGCACTTTTTCTTTTGATTTTCTAATGCTTTTCACACAGTTAAACCTCTGTTTTGCCTCTGTTTTAATGAGTACAAGAATTATAAAATTTTCAGCCACATCAAAGAATTGAAGAGAACCTAACATGAGAGTGTTTGAAGCATTTTCTTGACAAACTTTTTAACAAGACATAAAGGAAACCTAACTCTAGAAAATTTGCTAGGACTAATAGCAAATTAAGAACTCAAACATGTAAAGCAAAAGCACATGTAGTAAGGTTCAGATTTAATAAGCAAAAATGCACCACAAAATGCTTCACAAACAACACAAAAAAAAAATTAGGTCAAACAAGCTAGTCTAGGAATTTTCAACATGCAAAAGGACTACACATGACTTCTATAACAAAACAAGTGATTCAAAAATAAAATCTATGCTCAATGAATGTTGTCCAATCACGGACACATGTTATAGAATGGAGAGACACAAACAAAATACAAAAAACGCACAAGTAGAGAAGAACCTAGGCGCACACACAAAAATTGACCATGGTTCACTTAAGAACCATGGTAAGGTCAGCCTAACCTACCAAGGTTTAGAGACTTGGAAGGCAAGCTTCAAAGCTTGAAGGAGAAGCTAGCAAATTTTGGCCAAGAACAAAAGTGAAGGCTAGGCGGCCAAGGCTCCAAAATGCTCCATGATTTATTTTGAAATTATTTGATTTGGTTTAGTTAGGATCATCATATGATGATGAGACCTAGCTAAATCAAATCTATGAAAAATTAGGAGCAAAATGAATCTAATATGTAAAATTTTGCCTAGGCCCAGTTCTGGCCCAATTACTAGTCACACCCTCAAGCATTGCTAAATGCCACCCCTTTTTCCCTACTGAAAAATATAAAATGAATGTATCAACTAGGGAGGTTAAATGGAGTTAGACTCTCCAAGTAACCTACCTTAAAATCAATATACAAACACTAATAAAAGCAAGTAAAGTGTCTCACAAATACAAAGGCAAAAATAAGCCTGTACAAAGAACTACTATATATGCAAACATATGAAAAAGGTCTTTAAGGTCATCCCATTCCTCTTGGTTCTTTTAAGATATCACCTCTTGGATTCCTTGGCCTTGGCCATAGTCTATCAATTAATCCATACACGAGCTTAAAATAATTAAAGGAATAATTCTCAATTCATACTTCATCACATCACAACATAAACCAAATTTATAATTCAAATGCAAACAATATGTCATGTTCATGCAAGGACAAGACTCTTCTATTGATATGCATGTGGTGCCAACAAAACACATTATCATTGCCCGAAGGTTGAGTAGTCTAGGAGTACATGTCCATCACAACACTTTACACTAGAAATACATACAAATAGGGTCTCGTCAAGATAGCTAAGCCATGCAAGATCTGCCCCATGAATACAATGGGTGAGACCAAGGATTCCTTAACCAAATTGTCCCCAAGGACTGATCCCTAAACTTTTATACAATGGGGCCTTCCCTAGTAGTGTATTTTGTATTGTACCCATCACAAAAATAGTTATGCAAATGATGACTGACATATAGACTATTGTGCAAAGTCACTTTCACAATTTCATGTTCAATTTGTATCTCAATTTGCAACTTCACTCAGGTTAGTATTTCATACCTCCAACACTTATCACAATTTCTACATGACTAAGAAGTAGTTAGGCTTCACAAGATCATTAACACTTTTCATATTTCACATGTCTTACAATATAATAGATCAATCTACTCTATTCATATTCATCAATCAATAACATACAATACACTTCACTGATTTTTCATTACACAACATATAGACAACCAATTTCAAACAAGTAAGTTTAAAATAAGAATTAGTGCTTTAAGTGCCCTAGGATTTTCTCTAAGCGACGAAAATTCGCTCAAAGTGCCTATAAATTCACTTTAAGTAAGCATAGTCAAGGAACACCCCTAAATCTCCACATCTTCTCGCTTTGAGCTTAACCGATTAAATTTCACTCAAAGCAACCGTAATTCGCTGTGAGTGAGCCAATTCAAAGGGTATGTTAGACTTGGTTTCACAAGCTCGCTTAGAGCGATAAGTTCTCACTCTGAGCTAGTTTACTCAAAAACTTGCATACTTTGCGATTCTTTCGCATATAATTTCCCACAAATTAATAAAGTAAAATGGCATCTAAAGTCTAATTAATTCTTTCTATCATAAATAGTTACTATAGTTAATTGTTTCTTCAATAATTTACTTTTTGTTTGTCCTTAGGGTTCCCCGAGAACTGATAGGCACTTATAAATTCATAAACTAAAGCAACTCATAGATCAAACATATAGTCAAATGCATATATCATTTAAAACACAACAATTATACATGGCAGATTCATACTAGGTTCATTTTTAATCCCTTACACACATACATACACATACAACCTAAGGATTAGGGGTCAATCTCGCTACTCAACAATTAACCCACACCAGGAGTGAGGTTCTCACTCTCCTTTACTTTGATGGACACTTAAATCGGGGTTCTAATCTCTAAGCCTCTCTCCAGTTGCCTTGGGTTCTCCTTCCTCTACTAATCACAATATGCTCAAATTTTGAAAAGTGAAACAGACCTAATACTACTAATTAATGTATTTAAACAAACATTATGATGCTCACCAACACACATGACCCATCAGCAAAAGCATATCTTAGTTTAGTTAACCTCATAATTTTGAATTTAAAAAGATAAATAACAACTATTACCTTATCCTATACCTCAAAATATATTATCTCTCAATTAGTTAATTAGAAAATCTTTTATTAATATTTTTTTAAAAAAGTGGGATGTTACATGGGTGGCTATCTAGCTCTATCTCACACTAATATCCAAATTGAGTCATTTTTCACTCCCTTATTATTTATTGTGTTCTATGTATATTTTTCACGTGAGAATCATCTTGATGATGATGCTAGTGGTGAAACTTAGGTCTTGTAATATGCATATGGGTCAAGGTTTAGTAGGATGTGACATTGGGGATTAAGAGTTATGTTTTGTAATTTTTTTATACCTTGTACTGATTAATCTTTTGGAGTTTTGTTATGGCTTTTGGGTAACTTGACTTTATCTTGTTTTGGTTTCTATATTAGTTAACTTTTCTAGAACTTGTTTAAGTTTATGAAAAAAATGTACGTTCTTTATTCTCGGTGATGTTCTTGCAAACTCTTTATAATACTTACGATCAAAGTTGTATTCAAAAAGTTTTTTTTATTGTTTTACAATTAATTATATATGTTTATTAACAAGTAAAAGGTGTCATAAGTGTCATCAAGGTATAAGTATAAAAAAAATTCTGTCAAATTTCACAAATTGGAAATAGACCTATAATTCCAAGGATTAAATTAAAGAAAAATATAAAAAGATAAAAGATCCAATTATATTTTTTTTAGTTTAAGGATCCAATTAAAAATATGTAAAAAAGTTTAAGAACCAAATAATGTATTAATTTATTTTTTATTTGAATTTTGTATTATAAACATAGAAAAATTATTTTTTCAACAAAATTACCAAAATATTTTGGCCCGTCTATAACTAGATGTGAAGGTTGTCTAAAAATTTCTTTGAGAGTGTTTCTAACATAAACTAAAGATGTTGAAAGACACATGATGAAATTTGTATGAGTGTCATTAGATAGTGAAGTTGTAAAGATGGTTTGTAACGTCCGATAGAAATGTTTCGTGTAAAGAGTGTTTGTAATGTTTGATAGAAACGTGTGAGTGTCATTTCGCAACTTTTAGATATGTTGTTGCTCTTGATTTTGCCAAACACTTTAAATTTTATACACTTAATATAGTTATCAACTTATCACAAAACAATTATATTCCAACATTTTCTTGATTATTTCATTTTTTATATGTTAATGCTCTCAATTTTCAAATTATTTAAATTTAAGTCTCTCGCCTCAAAAAACTAATAAATAACAAGAATGTTGATTAATGAACTAGTGAGCGTTACGTTTTTCTTTCTATATGTATTAAAAATGACACCTCAATATAATAATAAGTTAATAATTTATTATGATAATATCTTAATGTATGTATCCTTCAACAATATCCTCATAAAACTACTCATGGTACTTTTTTTATTAATTCTTTGTAGTATAAATATATGGATTTTACTTTTAAAACTACTAAAATATTTATCCTCATGTGAACCTGACTATAAAGGTTATCTAAAACTTATGAGTTTTTTTAATATTAATTAAAATTTATAATTGTGAAAAACCAAACCGATCAATCAGGCTAGTCGAATCGGGAATGGATCTAGTTCAGTTCGATTAGAAAACTGTTCTATAACGAACACTAAAAGAAATTTGTCATATAGTGACACATACCCTATAGTGATACTATACATGTCATTAAAAATTACTTTTACCCATACAATAACTATAATATATGTTGGTATATAATATGGTAATATGGGATATGTTTAGGGTTATGCTCTTATGCACAATTCTTGGGATTATTTCATCAATTGGAATAATTAATTTGGCGTACATTTTATCCGTTTTAATTCTCCTTTATTGCAGAATAATGCCAAATCATATCAAGGATATGATAGAGATAATTTAGCCTGAAGTTTAAGATATGTAGCTGTCATATACTTGTATATAATTACCTATTGATTAATAGAATGAGATACACAATTCTTTTTCATAACTTTGTTATGGTATCAGAGCCTACAAAGTCTCGGTGAGAACGTGTGACAAAACTCTTCTCATGGATAAAGCTGAGATCGAGAAGAAGACCGAATTGGTGAAAAAGATACCTTCACCATATGACTTGCATGCAAACGATAATTCAGGAAATTTGATTAGAGGAAGAAATGGAGGTTTTCGAGCAAATGCAATGCAAGTGAATGGAGAAACCAATGGGACTAATGAAAATGCATTGAGTGGACTAAGATCTGAACAATGGAAAACTCTAAAGGATTTGTTGAACAATCACAAAGGAACCACAAGTGACAAAATGACAGGTAAACATAGTGAGTGGATCATAGACACAGGTGCCTCTAGCCACATGACAGGAAACTTGAGTTTATTATGTGGGCTGAGAGACGTAATTGGGTGTCCAGTGAGACTTCCAGATGGAAAACAACTGATGGCAAACAAAGAAGGGACAGTGACACTTGATGGAGGATTGAAAGTGGAAAATGTGCTTTATGTGCCAACATTGAGTTGCAACCTGTTGTCTATTTCTCAATTGACAAATGAAACAAATTGTGTTGTCTATTTCACTAACAACTTATGTGTTATGCAGGATTGCACTTCGAAGATGCTGATTGGAGTGGGTGAACAACGAGATGGACTTTACTTCTTTAAAGGAATCCGAAGTGAGAAAGCACACAAAGCTAATGGAACTTGTGAACTTAATCTGTGGCATCAACGCATGGGGCACCCTTCTTTCAAGGTCACTAAATTAGCTTCCAACATGAGATGTGATAGCGATATTTTGAAGAACAAACCATGTGATGTATGTTTACGGGCTAAGCAAACTAGAGGTGTCTTTCCATTAAGTACAAATAATGCTGGTGGTAGTTTTGAATTAATACACTGTGATTTGTGGGGGCCTATAGAACTCCCTCTTCTTGTGGTGCTTCATATTTTTTGACAATAATGGATGATTTTTCTCGTGCTATTTGGATTTATTTGATTTCTGATAAAAGGAAAGTGTCATGTACATTGTTGAATTTATTTGCATTAATAGAAAGACAATTTAGTAAACAGATTAAAGTGCTACGTAGCGATAATGGTACTGAATTTACATGTTTGAGAAACTACTTTCATGAACACGGGATAGTATTTCAAACATCTTGTCCAGGAACCCCACAACAAAACGGAAGATTAGAAAGAAAGCATAGACACATTCTTAATGTTGCTCGTGCTCTACGACTTCAAGGTAATCTCCCTATTTCTTTTTGGGGTGAGTGTATCTTAACAGCTGGATACTTGATTAATCATACCCCCACTCTAGTGTTGTCTGGAAAAACACCATATGAGATGTTGTATGGTCAAGCCCCCATGTATGATCATTTAAAAGTTTTTGGTTGTTTATGCTACGCACACAACTTGGATAGACATGGTGATAAGTTTGCCAGTCGAAGTCGAAAGTGTATCTTTGTGGGTTATCCTTATGGGAAGAAGGGTTGGAAATTATTTGATTTAGATACTCAATGCTATTTTGTGTCTCGTGATGTTGAGTTCTTTGAAACAGAGTTTCCTTTCACACATACAACTGAGGTCAAATATGATTTATCTTTGGATTCACCGTTAATGAACGATGCATTGGATAATGATGATGATAATGATTTGGATAATGACACGAGGATGGGAGAAAATACACTCATTGAGGTAGTTGCAGGTTCTGAAGTGAGGGGGGGTGTTACCTTAGACAGTGAAAGAAGTGATGAACTCGTAGAAAAAGGAAATAATCCTACTCCAAATGTTGACTCACTGGAGCTTGTTCGTCAAAGCAGTTTGGAGGAACTAGGAAGAGGTCATCGTACCAAATTGCCTTCCGTGAAGCTACGTGAGTATGTAACTCACACCATAAAGAAGTTAAGTCCATCTCCAAGTCAATCCACTTCACAGTATTCTTCAGGTACTCCCTATCCTATATCTCACTATATAAGTTGTGAAAATTTCTCTGAAAAGCATTGCAGGTTTGTAATGTTGACTCACTAGAGCTTGTTCGTCAAAGCAGTTTGGAGGAACTAGGAAGAGGTCATCGTACCAAATTGCCTTCCGTGAAGCTACGTGAGTATGTAACTCACACCATAAAGAAGTTAAGTCCATCTCCAAGTCAATCCACTTCACAGTATTCTTCAGGTACTCCCTATCCTATATCTCACTATATAAGTTGTGAAAATTTCTCTGAAAAGCATTGCAGGTTTGTTGCTGCTATTACTCTAGCCCAAGAACCCACTCATTATGCTGAAGCAGTGCAAGATGCCAAATGGAGGCTTGCAATGCAGCAAGAACTTCATGCACTAGAAACCAATGGAACATGGTCTCTAGAAACTCTACCGGATGGGGAGAAACCTCTTGGTTGTAAATGGGTATATAAGATCAAGCATAATTCAGATGGCATGATAGAGCGATACAAGGCAAGGCTGGTTATTCTCGAGAATCATCAAAAAGAAGGGGTTGACTATACTGAGACATTTGCCCCTATTGTCAAAATGGTTACGATTCGCCTTGTTCTTACTGTTGCAACGACAAAGAAGTGGGAATTACATCAAATGGACGTCCACAATGCTTTCCTTCATGGTGATCTACATGAAGATGTCTACATGAAGCTTCCTCCAGGCTTTCATACTTCTCAACCGAACCATGTTTGTAAATTGAAAAAGTCTTTATACGGTTTGAAGCAAGCCTCTCGTTGTTGGTTTGCCAAATTATCATCTGCTTTGATAAACTTTGGATTTCGTCAATCGGGTTGTGACCACTCACTCTTTACTCTCCTTGTCCATGGAGTGCAAATGATGGTTCTGGTATATGTAGACGATTTGATCATATGTGGGAATGATTCCGCTGCAATTCAACCCTTTAAAGAATATCTTATGCTTTCACATAAAAGACTTGGGACATTTAAAATATTTTTTGGTAGTAAAAGTTGCAAGGATTTCAAGTGGAATATTTTTGTGTCAGCGTAAATATGCATTAGACATCATTCAAGAAGCATGCCTACTTGGTGCACAACCCGTGGCTACACCTCTTGAGCATAATCATCAACTTGGACTAGCCCCTGGACGCTACATTGATCAACCTGACAGGTATCGACGCCTTGTTGGGCGCCTCATATACTTGTGTTTTACCAGACCGGAATTGTCCTACTATGTCCATACCTTGTCGCAATTCATGCAACAACCGCGTTAAGAACATTGGAATGCAGCCTTTCGAATTGTGAGATACCTCAAAGGAAGTCCTGGGCAAGGAATTCTCCTCAAAAGCACATCTGATTTCCAACTACATGGATGGTGTGATTCCGACTGGGCCGGATGTCCATTAACTCGGCGTTCAACTACTGGGTGGTTTGTGTTCTTGGGTCACTCTCCTATATCTTGGAAAACCAATAAACAACATACTGTCTCTCGTTCATCCGCTGAAGCAGAATACCGTTCTATGGCTAGTACTTGTTGTGAACTTAAGTGGCTTCGGAGCTTACTGGCTGATTTAAGCATTTCTCATAAAGAACCTATGCACTTCCACTGTGATAGTTAGGCTGCTTTACATATAGCAAAAAATCCAGTTTTCCATGAACGGACAAAGCATATTGAAGTGGATTGTCATTTCATTCGTAATGAGATACTCCAAGGCACCATTCAACCATCATATGTTCCGACATGAGCAACTTGCCGACATCCTTACAAAAGCCTTAGGACGACATCAATTTCACACTCTGCTTAACAAGCTGGGCATTCGTAATCCTCATGCTCCACCTTGAGGACGAGTAATATGGTAATATGGGATATGTTATACGGGTTATGCTCTCATGCACAATTCTTGGGATTATTTCATCAATTGGAATAATTAATTTGGCGTACATTTTATTCGTTTTAATTCTCCTTTATTGCAGAATAATGCCAAATCATATCAAGGATATGATGGAGAAAATTTAGTCTGAAGTTTAAGATCTGTAGCTGTCATATACTTGTATATAATTACCTATTGATCAATAGAATGAGATACATGGTTCTTTTCCATAACTTTGTTAGTATATTATTAAAAAGTGTGGGGTATAGGCTATAATGACACACAAAATATGTTGTTAAATCTCATTCAAAATCAACACTAAAATTGTGTGTAACTATATGTCAAATAGACATATACCTACATATATTGTACCTATAGTAACACTTTTTATATGTCACTATGTGTAATATTTCTTGTAGTGGAACCGGTTAAAAATTGATAAATTAATCCAATAAAAAAATTAATTTTTAAATTTTTTAAAATTTAATTTAAAATATTTTTAATCAAAATAATATTTAATAAAAATTATAAATTAGAATAACTTATTTTTAATATTTCTTTCATAAATATAATTTAATAATTTATGTTAATTTACAATTTTTAATATCTTTAATTTTATAATTTATATTATATTAATTTAATAATTTTTATTCTAGATGTAATCTTGTTATTGGTGGACATTATTATTAAAATTTAAATTTAAATATTATATTGTATATAATTTAAAATTTTACGTGTTTATTAAATGTTAAGAATCTATAAATAAATTTTTATTTTAATATTTAGTGTTATAAAATTATAATATTATATCTATTTAATATTTTTATACTACTAATAATTATTATTATTTTATTAACATCAGTTGATCACGATTCAACTATAATTGAACTATTAAATCTTAAACCAATGTCTGACTGATTCAATGATCATTTCAATTTTAAAAGTATTGGTAAAATTATTAAAGGAAAAATTATTAAATTTGTTTATTAGTGTTATGGGTGAGAGCACTTACGAAGAGTGGTTATAACAAATTGAAAAAAATATTTCGTGTGGAATGAAATTGGAAAAGTTATCATTTCATAATACTTAAATATATTTATTCTTTTGATCTATTAGAGTATCAATCATATCGTTGTGTGTGGTAAAATCACAAGACAAAGTAAGTATAAATGTTAAATTAATGTATATTTTATAATATTTTTCAAAATAAACAAAATACTTATAAATATAATATCATACTCTCTTCGATTCTTATTATAATGCACAATTTAGAAGAAGAAAAAATAGTGATCCTTTTTTAAGGTAATTTACAATTTTAATAGAACATTAGTTTTATTTTAATTTTTTCTCCCTATTATCTATTAAAAATAATTAGGGCCAAAAAGAGTATTACACAAAATGTTATCTATTAAATAATTTTTTATTATAATTTTTTAGTTTTTCAAAATTCACTTTTTAAAAGAATATAAAATATTATAAGTTAAAATGACTTAAGCATAACTCAAACTTATTCTAAAAGTACATTTAAAACTTGAACCTAGAAAAAATATCATGGGTCGGCCAGAAGGATAGATTGTGTCTTACTCATTTGTAAATTCAACTATTTAATTATGTGACATAGAAGCTTTGGAAGTGATTTAGGTAAGAGAAGTATAATTGTAGCTTATATAGATCTTATAAGCATAGTTGTGCTTGTCTTGAAAATGGATTGATAAATGAATATTAAGAATTTGAGTTTTATGTTGTTGGGGTTTTTAGGTATTCTTGGAGTTGAAGAAAAATTTGATGAATTGAGTTGTAATCTTGTTGCATATGAGGCTTCTAGTGATTTATGAGTTGATTGTGAGGTGAGGAATTGTTTGTTTGAATAACATGTGTTGTTGGTGAAATGTGGTGGCTGGATTTAAAAAGAGATGGCAAGTTCCATGGTAGAACTCTACCCTCTTGCCCAATGAGAGGTGCATCATGCACGACAGACTTTCATGGTTGATGAACACTAGCCCATAATTTGTGTTCTCACTTAGCGACAAGATGGTCTCTTAGCGAGAATAAGGTCTTATTGGTGGCTTTATGCAAGAGGTCAAGCTTTCCCAGTGAGTTATGGTTGCTTAGCGACTAAACCACAACAAGTCTAGCTTGCCCAATAAGCTAGAGCTCACCCTAACCCATAATGTGTGTTTGCATAGCGACAAGATGATCGCTTAATGAGAATAAGCTTTTATTGGTGGCTTTATGCAAAGGGACAAGCTTTCCTAGTGAGTTATGGTTGCTTAGTGACTAAACTACAATGAGTCTCGCTTGCCCAATAAGCTAGAGCTCACCCAGAGGGATGAGCCATAAAGAAAAGGAGTTTCTTTTAATAAAAGTTTGAAAAAAAATTGTATTGATTTTTTTCTTTATTCAAACCTTATCATTTATTGGTTTTATTATTAATTTTATTATTTTTTTAAATCAATATTATCCTTTGAAATCTTATAAACTTTTATGGTATAAATCTGTTAAAATTCATATTACAAAATCTTGATTATAAAGGTCTTTTAAAAAAATCTTAAAAGTGATTACATTTTTACAAAGTTATTTAAAAAAACAAAAAAAACAAAAAAACAAAAAACAAAAAAACCATTACATTATGATAAATTCTTTTAAAAATCACAAGAATTTTTTGTACTAAAATAGTCTTATGAAATCTCAATCAAGTTCACCATGTAACTCAACTTACAAAATTAACTTATAAGCTGAAAATTTTTACCCACTTATATAAATGTATAATGTTACTATTGTTTTATTTTTAGTCGACATGAGATTTTTAACACACCTCTTACGTTGAGGACAAGACATTTAGATCATAAAGTTTGCAAGACTAGGATATACACTAGTGGTTCAATAGCGGTTGATCCAATAAGTCCAATCACCAGAATACACTACGATATCATCTTAAGAATGTGGATTATGACTTATAAGTTTAAGTCAATTTTATAAAATTGACTTAAAATATGATAATTGTCCTCTACTTATATATATTATTATAATCTTATCTCTAGTCGATATGAAATCACAAATAATTTTAATTATAACCTAATTTATATATTTAAAATTATTTATTTATTATATATTACAACCACATAAAATAAGATATATTGTACAAGATAACATACTAATTTTTATTATAATTTAATTTTAATTCATTGTGTAATATAAATATTTATATTTATTAATTAAGACAAAAGATTGTTTATATATTTTAAAAATATTTATTGTAAAATTAATAAAGCCATTGAACATAGAAGGGCGTAATTGAAGGGACACGAGCAATTACATAAGAAAAGATTTTAACTTCAGGTTATTTGTCGCCTCAGTCAGCAAGCTCTGTGCTAATTCTAGGTTGCCGAGAAATGGTGAAAACTGAGGAAGAATGCCAAGCCATGATTCACAAGAGTTTCCAAAGTATGTCAATTTTCATTCTCAATAAGGCTTTTTATTTCTCGCTTCAAATTGGGCTATCATCAGATTCGTCTTGCTTTTGTGGGTTATGCTCTGAAAGGTTAATTTTAGAATTGGGGTTTTAGGTTTTTTACTATTTGCTTAAAAAAAATGCAATTTTTCTCTGAGGAATCTGGATTGAAGGATTTTTTTTTTTTTTTTGGTTATTTGGTGGGTTAATTTTAACGTTCTTTGACAGCTCCAATGGTGAGGTTTTTGAGGGAACGCTTGGAGAAAGCTGGGTGTGCCGTAGGAGCCAATTTTTTCAAAGCTGTTACTTGCAGTGAGAAAGTCGCCGGTAATTATGTTACTGGTCAAGGGGTACTTATTTTTTCTTTCTATACTTTATTTAGCTTGTTTGGTCTTTTGTTTCAAGTAAAATTTAGTTCATGTTGTTTAGAGAGAATGAGACATTTCTGTAGTTGAAAAATAAAGTAAGAAAGAGTAAAAAAAGAGTGTTATGTTTGCCGCAAAATTCGTTTGCAAAAAGTAAAAATAGATAAAACAGAAAGAAGAAAGAAAAGAGGTAGTAGTCACTGATGTAACAATTATTTTGTTTTCAAATTCTGCCCTTTTAACTAACAAATATATTATACTTGAGGGATAAAATGTTGAAGAAAATGTGTATACACTGAAGATGAAGTGTTATCTTTATAATTGTTATATATATATATATATAGGGAGCGTATCAAGTGAGAAGTTTTTATTGTGAGAAGGTGAGAAGGTGGAAATATAACCCTTAGATTAATTTTCTCTCACTTGATTAAATCTCAAATTTTCTCTCACTTGATTAATCTAAGGGTTATATTTCCACCTTCTCACCTTCTCACAATAAAAACTTCTCACTTGATACGCTCCCTATATATATATATATATATAAGGTGAAATTCTTCACACTTTGCCTCATTTTAGAGCAAAGTTTTACACAATGGGATACACATTAAAATATCTACACTTCTCTCCTCTTCCCTCGTATCAAACACTTCATTTTTCAACTTTTCTTCACTTCCTCTCCCTTCTTTTCCACTTCCCTCTTTCCAAACACACCATTAGTCCCTCAAGATCACTAGTAACATCACAGACAGTGACAAGACTTAGTCAATTAGGTTGAATGAGATGTTTCCATTAGTAACGATATTAGTAAGTGAATTTTGTGCGACTAACTCAATAATAGGGGAGGGTAATAAGATTTTTTTGAAATTACAAAGATCAAAATCAATTTTACCTTATATTTGGAAGACTAAAAACATATTTTAGTCTTATGATTTTAATGGGGATTTTATGTGGTTAGTCTCTTGTACTATTGGAGTCATCCCTCTACACGCATAGTTAAGAAGTTGATTGAAGTTTAGCTTGGTGAAGAAAATAAGCTCTCAATTCTAATCATGCTTCCTTGTTTTGCTGGTGGAATTAGTATTTTGATCAATGCTTTTACTTTGGTTGGATGATAAGGTTTTTAATTGGCTAATGTTCATTTCCTCCGATACTGTTTGTCCCAGGTAAAAGTGTGCAGCAATTATATGCGAATTCAAGACGAAGTCAACCAGGTGGTAATTCATGAGCTAATTCATGCGTTTGACCATTGTCATGCTGCCAATTTGGATTGGTCTGATTGTGCTCACCTGGCTTGTACTGAGGTTCCTATCTAACACTGTCTTCCTATTCATTTAATAAGATGACTTTCTCTCCCCTAATTAATATTTATGATATTGTGAAAAAAGATACGAGCTAGTCATCTAAGTGGTGATTGCCATTACAAGCGGGAACTACTGAGAGGTTTCATGAAACTACGAGGGCATGAACAGGTAAACTTTTTAGACCCCTTCTTCATTAATACAACTCAACTATTTTAGTTGAATCATTTCATAGATTAAATTTGGTATCTTTTCATGGCTACAATATTTAAACAACTGCTTATTGCATTTGCACTAGCATATTTTGAAATTGATCATCAAATAAAAGGTCCACAGGGATAACAAAATTATAAAATTGAGGAATTCAATCATTATCATTTTATTTGAAATAACAATTTTAATTGAAGGCTATGTCTATTGACATTACTAATATCACCCATGTAAGCAATTAGTTATTAAAGGATTAAGACATGGAAAATTAAATCCTCATCTTTGTTGATATCTAAATTACTGAGAGACAATCCGGACATGACCGCCCCTCTTATTATTTGAATCCTGTTAATCATATGAACCTCGAGGACTACCAATTTTGTTGGAAGGTTTTCTATAGCACTGCTAAGAATCTAATTAGATCTTTTATCATGCTTGACTGATAAGTATATCAGATATGATTAGATCAATACTTAGAGTTAGGTTATAGCATCAAGGTAGAAATTGAAAAATCACAGACCAGTGGAAGTCGTTGCCATCCATGTCAAGTTTTTGAAGACTTGGTGTAGAATTTTATCTGCTTGCCGGAGATTAGTGCAAATGTCTTGTCATGTTGGTGGAATATAAAATATGAACAGACAGTAGACAACACCTATCCTTTGATTAAACATTGGTGAAGGAATAATTGAGTAGAGTTCATGGAAACTTATGCCTTTTGTTTTTCTCCTTGCCACATAATGACATGGTGGTATTTCCAATTTTGTTGGATGCAAGCACGAGTTTCTAAATCTCTCCTCCTAAATGGCCACTCTAGCAGATGAATTTAAAATCTAATAGTATATAGCATACACTTAGAAGATGATATTTCAACCATTCTTTATTGCATTTGTCAATACAAACTGAAGCATGGTTTTTTCTTTGATCACAGTGATAAAGTAGAATGGAAGATTGGCCTAATCTTTTCTCTTCTCCGTTTCTTTTTTTTTTTTTTAATATTTTCTTTCATAATCATTATTACATCAAATCACTTTTTCTACGTTGTTTTATACTATAACAACCTTGCTATCTCTAAAGATTGTGTCGTTCAAAACCATAGTGACCTATGGGATGTAAAATTATTGACTACAAAAATTAGAAAGGCTTGAGATATAACTTCCCCCCCCCTCAGTATTTGCTTCATGTGCATTGTACTCTAAATGGAAATATAAACTTATTTGGAGCATGACACTCTCTTTACCTTTGGCCAAGGTACAGTATCCTGTGAAGTGTATTATAGAAATCCTGTTCCTAGGTGATGACCTTGACTTTGGTCAACAACTAAAAGATGGGCTAATCCTTCATTTTGTATGAGATGCCTTTTTAGATGGATTGAACCTTGAGCCCAGTCTATAGCAAGGGTGGTTCACACAAATGATATAGTTGAAGGGGTTAAAAAACATGTGGAAGCATAACTTGCAGTACCATATGACTGCTACTTCTTTTTCCTAGTGCTCAATATAACTTGTTCTTTCTTTTAGGGAGCACACTTTCCTCAAAATTATGTATTTTGTTATTCTGTCATGCATTTCTCTCTTTGCTTTAGTATATTTGAGATTTTAGACTTTTTTTTTTTTTTCTGTAATTTGTTCAATACTGAATTAAATGTAATGGTACTTGAAGGAATGTGTGAGAAGAAGAGTTTTGCAATCTCTGTCTTCACATCCCACTTGCTTTGGTCATGCTGCCAAGGATTCTATGGAAGCCATATGGGATATCTGTTACAACGATACACGACCCTTTGATAGAGCTCCTTAAAATCTACATGGTTGGTGCTTGCTTAGAATCATAATAACCCATTGTTGGTTTCTTATTTTGCATGTAACATTATGCACTCAAATCATAGCCACATTTCAATGGATTAGTTATTCTTTCATGATTTATTGTTTTAGAAACCTTCATTATCAGGCTTCTTCCAAGTGTGTTGATGGTTTATTCTTTATATAGTTCCTGTGCTAAGAATATTATGAAATTTGTCAATAAAAATTTGTTTGGATAAACTTCTCCATAAATACTTATAAGAAAAAAATACGAAAGAAAAATAAATAAAGTTTTCTATAAGTTAATCATAACATAATTTGTAGAAGTTTTCTCATACAAAATTTTCAAAATAAATTATTTTAGCTCATGGAGAAGTTATTTAATTTTTTCATCCTGTTTTCTTTTTCTATGAATACTTGTGAAGAACTCTATTTAATAGATGCCAAATTAGGTGGAGTTTCAAGTGAGATGAGGCTTCAATCATAAGGTGAATTCAATTGTTGAAAAAAGGTTGGCCAATAACCTACATCAGTTTCCGTAAATCACATGAAAGCATAAGGTCGATCCACGAAAAAGAAATTAGGATAATATATATGTTTGCCTTTCCCTAATTGCATTTAACACAAACAGCAACATTAGTTATGGAGATTTTTTTTTTGGAAGGAAAATGTAAGCAAACTCTTTTTACTATTATTGAAATTTGTCCGGAATCACAAAATTATGTAGGTTGTGTTCTTTATTGAGTTTAACGGTAGTTTTAAAAGCCAAACCAGACTGCTTAGTTTGATCAGGATTCTATTTAGTGAAAACTTGTTAGCTCTAATAAGAAAGTGTGTTGGTCGTACTGCACTGTTATCATCTACCATTATAAGTTTAATTGCATGAATTTCATCCGTTAAATATTTTTTATTTCATCATAAAATAAAAAATATACAATTAATTAAATTTACTATATTTAGATTAACAACTGCACAGTGTGGTTTCTTTCAAACTGTAGAGGATTAAAATCCTAGTCGTATTGTTCTTATTATAAATTATACTACAAATCATAAATTATAAGAATATTTTAACAATTACTATTAAACCTATCGTATCACCTGAAGTTGTTATTAAATCCCTAAAAAATATTCATATTTATAAACTTTAAGTTTGAAATGTTCTATTTTCAACATATATATAAAGGTGTATTAAAAGTTTCAAATTGAATAAAATAGTATATAAAAGTGAATAATAATCCTTATTTAAGTTAATTTTGTACTATTGTTAAATAGTCACCATTCATTTTAAACTGTTGGCAGCTAACCAGGCCTCGAACATAATAAGGTACGCCCTTCATGAAACGTTTGCTTCTTTCAGCATTTTCACACGTTTTTTCCTCCATGCATGCAGCTTTTGTCGGAAATTGTGTCCCTTCCCTTTGAAAATCGAAGAGAAAATGTTTCATAGCATTCCAATTGCAACTGAAAATGGATTTGTGTTAATTTAGTGTCTGTCTTCTGACTTCTCCCATGTTCACGTTTTCCTCACAATAAAAACGGGCTTGCACTAAGATGACAGTCTTTTGAAAGATTCTTCTTTTTTAATTTGTTAGTGAATAAAATTGATTCTAAATATGAGATCTATAAGTTTTTAAAACATACCTGTACTCTTTTTTAATAGAACCACTCCAATCCGCTTCATGATGTGTAATTAGAGGAGTATATATAAAATTTTAAGTTCGAATTTTACTTAATGTTAGATATGATTAACATTACAATTTTAATAATCAATGGATAAGTATTCAATGAAGAGATCAAAATTGCAAAATTAAAAATGTAGGGGTCAAAATTGTAAATTTGATATTATAGGAGACCAAAAGTGAAGTTTAGTCTAATTTTTAAATAAAATTATATAAAAAAATTAAACTTCCACTCTATTTTTCTTATATTTCTTTTTTATCAAATAACTTTTATTTTCACTCTATTTTTTTAATCTATTTCTCTATACTTTTCTACACTTTTTTTTTCTTCTTTCCCCTTTATTTGTTTCATATTTACCAAATACAAGTTAAGGGTAATTTTGACATTATAAATAAAGAATTTGAAAAGAGAGGTTAGTTGTTGGAGAGTTGATTTTTAAAAAGGATAATCTATTTTTGTCTTTGAGTTCTTTTTGGCATCTTGAAAAACTTTTCAATAAGTAATTGGAAGAACTTAGAAAATACCAAAAACTAATTAAAGAGGGTTTCACATTGAAACAAAATAAAGGAAGGAATAAAATGGAGAAATACTCATTAGAAAATTTTGAATTGCATTATGAATCCAATAAGAGTGGGTAGATGGACTAAGTCCATAAGTCCATCTATTAAGCACGTGGACCTCATAGGTAATGAATCCATTTTTATTAAGTTCGCATAATTATGTTTAATTTTGAACTTAATTTATAAACTCACGAATAGCCCACGAACTTCACTAATTAATTTTTATGATATTAAGATTTTAATATTTGATCGTGTATTTAAACTCTTAAATTATTAACACTAAAATTATATTTAGTTGACTGTATTTACTATTTCAATTATTTTTAAGACATTTGAATACTTTTACTATTGAAAGTTTGAGACTATTATAAATATTGGTAATCTTTTAATCTTAACACTTTAATATTTAGTGTTTATGACCATTGTAAATGTTGCTAAATTTTAGTGTCATGGGTTTTAAGTTAAAAATAAATGAATTTTTTTCTTCTAATTTTTTATTTTTTATTTTAAAAATATATTTTCAAATCAATATTTAAACTTACATACTAGTCAGTTTATGTACGGATTTTGATAGATTAAATACAAACTTGAAAAAAGGGTCAATTTATTTTTGCTATCCATACTTGTCCGATCCATATAAAATACGAGTTTTGCAAGTTGAGTATTAAACAGACTAGATTGGTCTGTATATCCATCCTTAAATCGGGTATGTTATCTAAACTTCCTCATAGAAATTCCAGAGTTTCATAGTAGTGAGAGATATGTTATTTAAGATCTATAATGTATAATTTTCTTGTATAATGAAAACTATAAAACTACACATGATTGTAAAGTTTACTTGCACGAGTTTCATACTGGTTTGATCACGTTATGACTGAGCCACCGGCATGCTTGATCCAAAAACTTAGACATTTGAAACTCTGTACATGATATGATAATATAGGATCAGAGTATCATATTCATAGCAATTAGCATGCATGAACATGATGCTTCATGAGAAAACATGTCTCCTTGAGTGTAAAAAGACGATCATTGATGGGTTACAATGATAATTTTTCATGATGACGGTGTTAATTATGCATGTGGCTATTTATGTATGTGTATGCTCATTGTTTTAGCTCGGTCATCATTGCAGTAGTACTAATATAAATGTTACATGCTATTGATTTTGTTCGTCAAGTGTTGTTACTATTATTAGGTGAAGCATGCCATCTGCAAATTCTATTGGTAATTTTTTTTAATTATTATGTTAGTCGTGTCAATAACCAATAAGATGTCCAATTCCTAGGTAGTTTTAGATGTTGTAGATATTTTCAAAAAGTACTTCTAAGAAAAATAGAATAAAATAACTTTTTTTATATATTAAAATTATTAATTTATATACAAGCTAATTTGTAAAAGTTTTTTCTTATTAAACGTTTTAAAAATTTGTTTTTTATCTTATGCATAAACTAGTTTTAGCTAATAAAGAAATTTATTTCAATTTTTTTTTATCATATTTTTCTCTTTTAGAGATGTTAATGGAATTATCTCTCAAGCATGCAATCAAAAGTTCAATGTTTGATATTAGTATATATAGAAAAACCTTTGTTGAGAGTAGTCAACTCATTAAGTAAATTTTAATATCTTGAAAGATTGGTCCTTAATTTTTAACTAAAGAATATGTTAATTTATCTATAAAAAAAATATTATTGATGTCAAATATCTATCAATTTTGTTTCATTACCGGAAAAAAAATTCTTCTTATTTAAATCTTAAATTTTAAATCCTAAATTTTTATTATTTAAATAATAAGAATTTAGTGTCACAAGGATGAATGTCTTTGATAGCAAATTTGGTTGGTAATTTTGTTTTTTAATTCGAACATGAATGCCTTTCTGAGTTACATCTAAAGTTTTTCTATAATTTTATTAATATCCATACTTAAATCCATATATAATCACGTCTTCGTGCTAATTTTAATAGATAATTAATACCCACTGGTGTTAAAGAAAATGATAGATTATTAGAATGGATAAAAGAAGTCATCGCCTAATCAATGATCATAATTCATTTGACATAACTACCAAAAAAAAAAAAACAATTCATTTGACATAATCATTCAGCTTCAAGATAAAGACCGATGCACTAACTTAATGCGTGGTGAAGTTATAAAAAAAAGTCAGCCTTTTCACTGAGGTCTTTAACTTTTTAGTTACCATGTTAAATTTGGATTACTATATTAGCTTGAATTACACGTCTTTGACTGGTCTCTTTGAGAATGTCATCAATAATTAAAATGAATTGGGTAATTATGCCAAACGAAGGTATCATAATTAAGAAACAATCAATTAACACTTCAACACGTATGAAAATTAACCAACCCAAAGTAATACATCAATTATTTGTTCTCACTTCTCACTGAACATTATTATTACGATGTTAAGCCCTGAACAAATTGTAACACACAAAAGTTACCAAAAAAAACCACACCTTTTATTGAAAAGTAAGGTCTTGACTTATATAAGTCTTATAAAAGTAGATAACAACCAGAAAATAAATTGTCCATGTTATACCTAGAAATGTGGTAAGTAACTTGATGGAATAACACTAAGGCCAAGAAGTCCAAGAGGTGATGTATTGAAGGTTTTACCCTTGTATTTTGGGGTATCTTAGACATAGGATCTATTTTACTTGTATTTCCAATTTTACCCTTGTATTTTGGGGTATTTTAGTCATAGGATTTATTTTCTTTTATATTTCCCATTTTACCCTTGTATTATGGGGTGCTTTAGATCATAGGTTTTTATTTTTGGGCTAAGGTATTTGATTAGGGTGGGAACAAAACCTAGACATATTTTTTGTGGCTCTTGGACCTATTTTTGGTGTTAGAAAGGCTTAGGCCCAAGTGGAGGGCAAAGGTTGCATGGTCTTATCATGCACCTAGATATAGCCTAACTAATCCCAAAGATTCCATCCTTGGCCACCAAGTTGCATCTAGGGTTCATTTGCATTTCATTTGGTGTGCATTTGGCTTATGAATTTCGTCCATGCACTCTCCAAATGCAACCTTAGATGCCTCTCACTCCTATAAATACCCTAGGCTATGCATCATGTAAATACTTTGGAATATATGAATTTGAGTGAGCATTTTTGCCTCAAATCCTCTCCTTAGTCACTAGGTCAATTCGGCCTACCTCTCTTATTTCCTCCTTAGAGTGAGTTTAGGGATACCTTGAATGGCCTTCACCTCCACTTAGTGAAGAGAGCCAACTAGAACACCCAAAACACCATCCTCCCAACCTTTCTCCTATTCGCCCAAGACTCCACCTTTCACGCCCACCATCACTTAACCTCACCCTTGAAGGAACGTCCACCCTCTAAGGTCACCATCTTGGCCTTGGAAAGGAGCTCCTCTTCATCATTGAACGTTTGATCATCCCCTTGGTGGAAAGAGTCCATCATAACTAAAAAACAGTCAAATGAGGAAAAAACTATTTATCCCAAAATAATTAAGATTGTTATTAATCGACTAAACATCAAAACAAATTCTAAACAACCCAACAAATTCCTCTCCTAAACTGATTATAGTACTGATGCCTTCAATTTATCTTTGGTACAAAGCATATACCTAGTAACTTATGCAACTTCAGAAAAGCATAGAATTTAAGTGGTTTTGTCATAATATCAGCAATTTGTTCTTATGTGCTACAATACTTCACCTCATAAATAATTGGGTTAGCAATTTGAACAAATTGTAACACACAAAAGTTACCAGACACCTTTTATTGAAAAGTATTGAAAAGTAAGGTCTTGACTTATATAAGTCTTACAAAAGTAGATAACAAAGAGAAAATAAATTATCCATGTTGTACCTAGAAATGTGGTAAGTAACTAAGAAACAATCAAATGAGGAAAAAACTATTTATCCCAAAATAATTAACATTGTTATTAACCTACTAAACTTCAAAACAAATTCTAAACAACCCAACAAATTCCTTTCCTAAACTGATTACAGTAGTGATGCATTCAATTTACCTCTAGTACAATGCATATATCTAGTAACTTACAAAACATCAGAAAAGCATCCAGTTTAAGTGGTTTTGTCATAATATCTACAATTTGTTCTTGTGTGATGTAATATTTCATTTCAATTTCTCCATCTTTAGTTAAATCACTTAAGAAATGGAACCTCACATCAATATGTTTGCTATACATCCATGCAAAACTAGATTCTTGGATAACTTAATAGTATAACTATTGTCACAAAACATTGTGGTTCCCTTGTCACAAAACCCTCATTTATAACCCTTGACATGCATTAGAGGTAGCTGACACAAATTCTGCTTTGGTTTAGGGTTTCCAGTACATCCAACACCAAGTTATTTCCAAGTTTCACTGTTTGTCAAAACTCTTAATCAAGACAAGAGAACCACTACTTATTTGCACACATATGATTATTTCACCCTCAGTCAAGAAACCATATGTCTGCTTTCACTTCTTTATCGAACTGATTAGGCTCCACAATTGACAATAACAACATCTCCTTTTCTTCCTCAAGTTTTGCATAGTTAGCTTTCTCCTCCCACCTTGGACATTTTTATTGAAAATGTCCCAATTTGGAACACTTCAAACACTCAATTATGGCTTTGTTAAAGGTTTGTCGTCCTCTTCCTCAACCTTTTCCTCGAGCAATTCCGTGACTAGTTCCACGACCAATACCACAACCTCTTCCACCAATTGATTTGTCATCAATTATCACCTTCAGTGCTTGTTCATCCCTTCCATGCCCTTTCATCCTTTGTTTGTGCACTAGCAGACTACTTTGCATTTTGACAATGGTTAAAGTGTCTAAGTTATTAGACTCCTCAATTGAACGCACAACACAGTTGAATTACGGTGTCATCGATCTTAGGACTTTTTCAACAATCAACATTGCCCCATGATTTCTCTATGAATTTCATCTTATTTGTTATGGAAAGTGTATGAGCAAAGTATTTATCAACACTTTCGGCCTCTTTCATGTGGAGGACTTTATATTCCCTTTGAAGGGCTTGGAGTATGCTCTTTTGACTGTTGTTGAACCTTGATACTTCTATTTCATAGAGTCTCATATAATTTTGGAAGTATCCTTACTAAGGATGGTCCCCAAAATGGTTCGATCAATAGCCTATAACAAATAATTCTTAACTTTTAAGTCCTTTAATTGTTGCTCAACAATTGACTTTGTTTTGCCTTTAGTAAGTTCCTTTCCTTCTACAACAAGTATTCCTTTCTCCACTAGGTTCTACTATTCCTTTAAGCGAAGGAAATTTTCCATAAGCATGACCCAATGATCATAATGACCATCAAGCTTAGAAAATTTTTCATGCCTTTTATTAAAAAGCAAGGTCTTGGCTAATATATGCCTTACAACAGTTGATAACAAAGAAAATAAATTGCCCAGGTTGTACCAACCTAGAAACGTGTGGAAAAAAACTATTTATCCCAAAATAATCAGGATTGTTATTAACTGACTAAACATCAAAACAAATTCTATACAACCCAACATATGATCCTTATTATTATAATTCTACAAACTAAGTTATAGTTGTTTATATGAAAATAGATTGATCATCATTTGATAAATTTATAAACTAACGTTTTATGTTTCAAAAAATGTAAAGACAAAAAAATATTATACTCCAACTAATAAAAGGGAGTAAGCTAAGAGGGATTGCTCGTCTAAACTTTGAGGAGTTGATCATATGTGGTGTCATGTTTGGCCAAGAAATTGACAGACAAATTAACTCCTCAAAGAACATGCTTAAAGTTAACAATTCAATTTAAAGAAATAAAGTGTAAAATACCCTTTATAAGAAGTAGTATGAATGAAAAACATTATCATTTTTTCTTATCAACTTTAAGACTATTAAGGAATATGATTAAAAAAAAAAAAGATTATGAATACTATCATGCCAAATCTTATAAAGTCTATAAAAGATATCCATAAACTCCACTTTGAGACTAATAGAGATTTCACAATAGTCCAAAAAACCTAAAACTCTATCTATTTTTATCACGAATTATACCTCCAAACCCACAATAATTTTAATGTTAGAGATTAATTAGTGTATTGCTCAACCAACCCAATAATTTCCCAACTTATAACTCTTCACATTAAAAACAAAAAAGGGAAACAAAAGAAAGACTTTGAAACAAAACAAATACCAGTCAAATTATTATTTAGTTGAATTTATTCTCCAGTTATTGACTATAGCTAGTAAAGTGAAAGACCATAAAAATTTCTTACCCATGTGATATGAGATTCTTTTCATCCAGTTGATACATTGTTGAAATAAATAGATAGTTAAATATATGACTAATGATAAAAATAAAAATAAAAATAAAACCCATGTCTAGCATTGATGAACAGTCCACAATTTGCCTTTGGTTAATTCATCAATCATCATAAATTAGATGGGCTCAGCCCAAATTCAAGATGATAACAGACTCAAATTTGATATGGAGCAACCCTGAAGTATCCAAAAATCTACATGAACTCACAACTTCTCCAGTGCAGTATTAAAAAAATTATCTTAAGATCTTCACACTCTAAATGTCCGATCCCAAGTGTAAAGGGTGTATGTTAAGATCTCGCATTGACTACTGACACGGTCAAATTAGTGTTTATCAAGACTTGGACAATTCTCACCTCATGAATTAGCTTTAGGGATTGACTTACACTAAGCCCAAATTCAAGTAGAGTCTTCACTTTAGCTCTGTCCCAAAAAGAAATAAATAACAATGTCCACTTCATCTCCAGATTCAAGATTTGACGTTAATCCCTGCTATTTTTCATCTTTGAGGGAAGATATTTTGCCACGCTAGTAGGTCTGAATGGTAGATTTTTATGTATCAAGGCACGAAGATCACATTCAGAAGCCAGGTTGACGAGAAGATGAATGAATAATATGACTTGCAACCAATATTTGGGACTTAAAACAATACTGAAGATTCTTCTCCTTTGAAGGTCAGCCAATTAGGATACTGTCACCGAGGAAAGAACAGTCACAGCCTCCATATAAGCATGGCTATCATTAGTCCATCCCTGTTCAATGAAAATTTAGAAACAAGGCATGCATTTAACTATCCAGACTGAAAGAACATTTTCCATTTTATCTTGTAACATTCAATTTCACAATTAAATTCAGTTATAATATATATATATATGGAACTCCAAAATTTCGAAGAAATATACAGGGAGGGAGACAAATGAGCATGACATTTCAATATCAGTGCAATGTACCAGATGTCAATCATTAGGCCAGTGAAACACATGGAAAGTAGAAAAAAGAAAGGTGGACAAAATTGCAAATTCAATTTTCTATATAATTGTTGGTTTGGTTAATGAAAATTAGTAGCACAAGGGGACTTGTTGATCAAAGAGTTGTTTCAAGATCTTCCAGTAATTGGTGTTAAATCTTTGATCAAGATAAAGTGCAAGAAAGGCTGCCATGGAGATTTAGTCCAAATTATAATCAAATGATATGAAGAACAAATAATGAAGTTGAAAAGAAAACAAGGTTGTAATTGAAGGATAAAACATGAAGAAGGTTATCTTAAGGATTTTTTGGGACAAATATCGAAAGAAAAGAGAGAGAGAGGGAGAGATTTGAGTAATGAAGATTATGAAATCAAATGCCAAGCAAGAATAAGATCGTAAAAATAGCACTTTGGAAGATCAAAGATATGTTATCTTAAGAAGTGCCAAAACAGTTTGCACATTTTTAAAGTATCGCCAAATGTCTGTATTTCAGATATTATGTTACTAGCATTTTATATAAAGTCTATAAATAGGGAATTGGAAATTAAGATACGACAGGAGAACAACTATGGAACCAAAACATGTAACAATTTCATAACACCCACACATCCATAAGGGAGACTATGAGTTCAATCGAGATTCATCAAGTGAATGTACTCCATTACTTTTACTAATAAATTCACATTCATTTGTTTGTATATACTGTCCCTTCCAGAATTAAATTTCATTTCTGAATTCTTTTGCACTAAGTATAAAGCATAAACCTATCTGATTGAAATCCCTTTGAGGAAGAATTTGCCTTCCCGGATTGTTAACAAGGGATAAGAGATGTATGTTTATCTTTTGTTATTAAATGTGTCATATATAAGAATAAGAAATATATAATCAATGACAAACTTCACTTGTATTTGCAAGGAAACTTTTACCTCCAAGGTTTTGATTGATTTCATTGAAACTGGCTCTGACAATGGTCGTTTTACCAATTAATCTCATGCCCAAGAATCCTACCATAAGAACTTCATTCGATTTACCACTTAACAATTGAATTATATCTAGCACGTGAGATTTCACTACTACTGGGTGATCTGCAACAATAAGTAGTGTCGTTGTCTAGTCTTGTGGTAACAGGTTTAAGAATATCACCAATCAACTAGATTTCGGTTCTGGCAAAAGAAAATAAATTACAAATCAGATTCAAAAAAATCATTTACTAAATCATTCTTACCATTAACAGCACAGTCTAAACAAAAGGGAAGATGTAGCTGAAGTCAACCATTAAATTATTAATACTAAAAAAAGGTATGAAAACTTTGAATTGACCAATCTTGGCTGGTACTTTTTAAGCAAGTTATGGCTGCTATATTTAAATAAGGAGCTAAACTTATTTTGTTTCAATTACTTAAATTTTAATCTCTACCATGATGATCCAACTATTCAGGATACATGTAGACAATGATGACAAGATTCATCAGATGTAAACTAAAATAACTAATCCCTAAACTTCTGCAATCAAGCTCAGCAAGGCCACTCAAAACTTCTTCAAACTAAATTTTGAATCTTCAAAATACAGATAAAAGTTGGAGAACCAAAAGCCTTGAAATTAAAACTCAAGCTTGTTTGCATCACAGCATGGAGAACTCATCACCCACATGACTCATAAGTGAGATAGAAAAAAATCACCATGAAAATGATTCATGCCGTGTCTGGTATGAATCTAAGCCATTTAATCGCTCTATGACTGATGGTTAGAAAGATATGCCCAAATGAAAGTAAACACATGACAAATTTGAGCCACTAAAAAAGCCCGAAAACAGCAAAAAAGAAGCACGTGCTAGAATAGGGTCAAGTAGAAACCCAAAAATGATGAATCCAAAGAAGAAAATTTAAATCACATTATGGAAGCCGAAATACAAAACCCCTTGCCCAAATCAATAAAGAAGTCTGAACGGTTCTCAGGTTGATTTGCCATGGCATAGCCAACCAAAATGCGATTAGTCATCTCCAGGGAGGTGACTCCAGGGATAGGTATCCATTTTAAAAGAACTCAAACAGAAAAGTGGAAGTGTTTACTGATGCAGACTAGGCCGGTTAACAAACTGCATATTCAGAAATGGATCTGGAAGCAGTGCTGAGTCAAAAGTCAGGGATATGTCTCAGGGAGTTTGGCAGCAAATAATGCTCAAGGAACTTGGGATTTCATCAAACTACATTATGAAGGACATATGTAACAACAAATCTACAAAAAATATAGCTAACAACTCGTTTCACCATTATAGAACCAAATGTGGAGATAGTTTATGACTAATTAGATAAATGCAACCATTTTATTTGAAACTTTATTTGAGGAAATTAAATAAGTTTTAGAAAAATATTTCTGAATGCCAACTCTATTCTCAAAATTTTGAAACTTATGTCAGCTCACTCAACTGGTAAGATAAAATTGTCAATAGAAAATAAGGTTTTATATTCATATCCTATTGGTAGTCTTTCATTATGAAACCATCTGAGATACTAGTAAAGCCTCACTTAGGCTTACAATATCCATTAACATTGGAAGGGAACAAATTCTCCTTCCCTGAACCTTTTATGGTCAAATATGCAACATGCTAAAATGCATTGTGTATACATTTTATAGATGCTTCAACATTATTCATTGATCATGTCAATTATCCTACAACCTGCCTAAATGTTTTTATACTACAACTTAATTGGAAACTTCCTGTAGCTCTCGATTTATTCCCATTCTTATTACCAAATAATAATAATAGCCAAGGCTGTCAAATCTGAATTCAAATCATGAATTGGAGATGAAAGGGAATAATGAGTTATTTTGACAATATTTGGTGAGAAGCAAGTAACTGATTTTTGGTGTAATAAAATTAAGGCATGTATAGAAAGTAAATTAAAAAAGGAAAAAATATAATAAATTACAGGAAACACCTCACAATTCACAAGTAAATTTTGTATTAGGAATTCATAGAGAATACGTATAGAGAAGATGATTTACCTGGCCAAGGTGGGTCTAAGATAACTGTAGAAGTGCAGAAAAAAAAAATGATAAATTACTTTCCCAGCTAGAGGGAATTTCATTTCCACATTGCAAGTCTCCAAGCCAATCATGATAGGCGTCAGCTAGAAGGATCAGTTCAAATTTCAACATTACACCGTTCAACACAGAAAAACAAAAGACATTAGGTACTTGCTGGAGCATAAGAATACATTCCACCATCAGGTAGTAGGCCATCCTTGGCCATTTCAGTTAGCACATTCAAAACACCATCCATGTTACCTTCTTTAAAGTTAACCTCAACAAGTACTTTAGCTACCTCGGCATCATTGAGCTTACAGCTCCTCAATACATTTTGCAATACCCGACTCAGCTCATCATCCAACCCATCCCTAGCTAGTGCTTTAATAAGAGCAATCACAGTCACAGTATGAGAAACAAAACCACAACGCTCCAACTCCGTATACAGATTATATGCCTTGTGAACGTTTCCACTTCTACAATGTCCATGTATTAATAAATTATAAATTGCTGCATTAGGCTTATGATTCCTCTGAAGCATTGTCTTAAAAACTCGATCTGCTTCATTCATCCTAGTGCTTTAATAAGAGCAATCACAGTCACAGTATGAGAAACAAAACCACAACGCTCCAACTCCGTATACAGATTATATGCCTTGTGAACGTTTCCACTTCTACAATGTCCATGTATTAATAAATTATAAATTGCTGCATTAGGCTTATGATTCCTCTGAAGCATTGTCTTAAAAACTCGATCTGCTTCATTCATCAAACCCTTCATGCAAAATCCTTTGACAAGGCCCAAGACGCTCTTAAATTCATTATTACTGCAGTTTTCTATCAGCGTATTGTATGTTACACCATTCGGCACAGACTCCTCGTAAAACAACTTCAGAAGAAGCCTCTTTGCTTCTTTTGTCCTAGCTTTCTTATTAAGTCCATTAATAAGCACACTATAGGTAACATCATCAGGCAAAAAACCCCTCAGCATCATTTCATCATGCAAACAAAGAGCCTTACTCAACTCACCCTCAACGCAATAAGCGTTTATCAAACTAGTATAAGTAACCTCATCAGGTGCGAGACCCCTGCGCACCATCTCTTCAAACAGCTCGAAAGCCTCCACCAATTTGTGCTGCACACAAAGACCTTGTAAGAGCGACGAATACATAACCGCGTCAGGCAAGACACCCTTGGCAACCATCTCCTCCTTCATCTGAAACGCTCTCTCCATCTCCCGCTCTTGGCAAAACCCAGCTATAACAGTGCTATAACTAACAACATCAGGAGACAACCCCCTCTCAACCATTCCCCTCAAAATCCCCACAGCCTCCTCAACCCTCCCCAAGAAGCAATACCCATGGACAAGCGCGTTGTAAGTCACAACCGAAGGCGAAAACCCACAAACAATCATCTCACTCAAGACCTTATAAGCCTCATTCAACAACCCTTGCTGGCAAAAGCCAACAATCAAAGTAGTATAAGTCCTCTCATTTGGCCTCAGTCCCCTACTACGCATCTGATGAAAAATCTCGATAGCACGACTCATGTTCCCAGCCTTACACATAGAATTGATCAAAGTGGTATAAGTAACAACATTGGGAGACAAACCCTTCCCAGCCATCTCCGAAAGCAGCAAAAAACCCTGGTGGAAATTCCCCTCTCTGCAAAACCCATTAACAAGAGTATTATAAGTGACCTCATCAGGAACCAACCCTTTTGCATTCATCTCCTCAACCACTTCCCTAGCCTCACCCACTCTACATTGGTTACACAATCCATTAATCACCGAATTGTAGGAAATCAAATTAGCCTCTAATCCCTTCGCAGCCATCACTCTCAACAACGCCATCGCCTCCTTCACCTTCTTCTTCTTGCAACTCGCGTCGATTAGCGTGTTGTACGTAACCACAGTGGGCGAAACCCCTTCCCTCTCCATCTCGCGCAGAAACCCTAACCCTCTTTCCAAGTCTCCTCTCGCCACGACGCCGCGAATCATGACGTTGTAAGTGTACACATTCGGCGACGCGCCGTTTCGGATCATTTCGCGGAACAGTCGCTCCGCGTCGCGGAGCGGCGCGGCGGCGCGGCGGAGGAGCGCGTCGAGGACGGCGTTGTAGGAGAGGACGGCGGGAGTGAGGCCGTGGCGGCGCGCGAGGCGGAGGACGGTGAGGGCCTTGTCGGGGAGGTCGAGGCGGGAGAGGGATTTAACGACGAGGTCGAACGCGGCGGAGGTGGGGCTGCTGCAGAGGCGGTGGGTGTCGTGGAGGAGGCGGAAGAGGACGACGCCGGTGGGGTCGGGGAGGGTGGCGGCGAGGGTGGCGACGAGGGAGTGGGCGGTGCTGTAGAGCTTGAAGGCGGAGAGGATGTGGAGGGCGAGGCAGTTGCAATGCGGCGTGAGGAAATGGGTATGGGCATGGGGTTGGGCCTGGGCCTGGGCCCAGGTGAGGAAGTTGAGGAGGGTGCGTTGGTCGGATTGGGAGTTGAGGAGAACGTAGGAGGCTGCTTGGGGAGTGAAGTGAGAAGAGAGGGATGCGAGTCTTTGAGGATGGCGTTTGAGGTACGCTATTGCTTTGAGCGTCGTTATTGGTTGTTGAAACCCAACGCTGATTCTGAGTTCTCGGGAAAATCACCATCGTCCTGGTTTTTGTAAGTAGCGAGTGATTCAAGAAGGTCACTGTCACTGGTAGGTACCAAAGGCATCGTCCAAACATTGCAACCGCCGAAGCCACGAACCTCAAAGGTATCCTCTACCCTCACACAACTCTTGTTTTGTTTCCACGAAACGTTTAAGAATTTCAGACGCTGCCACCCCACCGTCAGCATACGGTGAACCAGGAAACAAATCTGCACTATAGACGCTACAGTAGAAAAAAATTATTTTAATTATTTAATTAATTTTTATTTAAAAATACATAAATATTATTTTGATGTGTTAATAGGATTTAATTTTGAAATTGTAAAGTAATAGATAAATTTTGTAATCGGTATAGTAAATGAATTTTATAATTGACAAGTGAAAATTGTCCGAAAAAAAAAGTCATGACCTAAAGAAATAGATAGCTCCTTCTAAGAGAGTTTTCATTTATACGACCTAGTTTATAACTAAACAATAAACATACACCCTGCCATTTGACTTTCAAAGTTGATGTCACAATCTTAGTAGAACTTGGCAAACAATCTTACAAGTGAGTTTACTTTCATAAATCCAACAACAACGAGAGACTTAGGGTTGAGCTTGACTTAGTAGACAAAGATAGAGATGGCAAGAGTTCAATAAGAAGCTTATAAGTAAGGTAGCTCAAGAATATAATTTTAAATTGAAGACAAGGTGGTATTAGAAAGGTGATCTCGTTTAGTGAGTAACTGAAGAATGTCAATCACCTCAATTCTATTTTAGTTAAGTATATGCAATAAAGTAATGTACTCATTTTCTTTATTAGTCTTTCTTCCCACAAAATAACAAGAGTTTTGGTTAAAAAGGTTTTAACGAGACATCATAAGAAAAATGTATCTTACTGATGACTTGATGAATAAAATTTCTCTATTTCTTCCTTTAGTTATCTATTATGCATACTGTACCGGGAACCGAACACCCCTTCGGTCAATGCACAACTTGAAAGGGTATTTGGTTACAAGTTAGGAACTTATCATCAGCATACTGAGGAACCGAATACCCCTTCGGCCAATACACAACCCGAAAGGGTATTCCTCCACAAGGTTGAACAGTCGCCCAATCACCAAGTTTGAAGGCCAAGTACTAGTTCAGCTAATGCATAACCTAAAAGGGTATTCGGCCATAATATAAGCCGAATACCCATCATTATTGAAGTTACATTACGCTAATTTTGGTTAGATAACAGAGTACCACATCAACCCAAATTAAAGGATAAACTCAATTTATTAATTTCTTAATCAAAAAGGCCCATCAGGCCCAAACAAGTCACTATAAATACAATATTGATGGGACAGAAAGGTAGGTACGATTATTTAATACTGTAGCATTCATTGCTCTATACCGAATACTGACTTGAGCGTCGGAGTGCCTTTGCAGGTACCCTCCCCCACCCTGAGGATAGTATCCGGTCGGCACCGAAGACTTGCGAGATCAAGAAGGAATTGCAAGAGGAGTGTTCCCGAGCAGGAACATTTTGGCGCCCACCGTGGGGCCGAAACCAGAACGATTCTCGACCCTAAAGCAAGATGGTAACGACAAGGAGTCAGCAAGAAAACGTATCCAACTACCCATTCGGGATGCCCCGCGATACCACTAGACGACAAACTAATCAGAACGAAGAAGGAATGGAGGAATCCTACGTAGATCGATCTCAACAACCCAACCCATCATCGGCCATCGAGCAATTTAAGGCCGAAATGATGGAATTGAAGAGGCTCCGAGAAAAGGACGCTCGCGAATTGTCATTACTAAGAAAGGAGAACGCAGAGCTCAGGAGCGACAACCGATCCTGGCATCCATCCCACGGCACCATGAATACTCTATCAACAAGACATCAGGGGGAGTCTTCGGGGTGGTACAAGGAGACAAAGGCCCCTCGGTCGCCTGGTGGTGTGACGACGACCACTCTGGATCAACAACGAAGGCAAGGGAAGACGCCTTTCACTCCAGACATAGCCGGGGCCCGACTGCCCGACAATTGGAAGAACTTGGCTTTAGAGAAGTATGACGGAACGGCCGACCCAGAAGAACATCTTGATGCTTTCGTCACTCAGGTCAGTTTGTACACTGACGACGATGCCATTATGTGTAAAGTTTTCCCTACCTCATTGAAAGGACCGGCACTTAATTGGTTCATGAGACTCCCATCCGAATCGGTAGACTCATTCACAACCTTATCTTCCCGGTTCGTGATACAGTTTGCCACGAGCCGTCCCCATCAACTTACCTCAATCGCATTAGTCAACATTCGCCAAGAAAAGAAGGAACCCCTGAGAACCTTCATGGAAAGGTTCGGAAGAATGACGCTTTCTATTCGAGACCTAGACCCGGCTGTGGCAATGCATCACCTGACCACGGCACTAAGGCCCGGGCCTTTCGTCAATAGTTTATGTAAGAAGCCGCCCCGGGACCTGGATGACCTGAGACAAAGAGCCACCAAGTATATGCAGATGGAAGAGTTGGCCGTGTTCAGAAATCAGAACCGGCCCGACCTCTCCATTGGGAAGAAAGAAGCGGAAAAGGAGCACCTTCCAAGGTCTCGCCCTCGAGACGTGCCTGAGAGGGAGAGGAATAATAGGGGACCTAGATACGCACAATACACGCCGCTTAACACAAGCAGAGCCAAGGTGTTGGAGCAGGCCTTGGCCACAGAAGTCCTCACAGTCCCCCGTCGTGCTATGACTCCGCCTCACGCGGACAAAACCAAAACATGCCAATTTCACAGAAATAGAGGACACACCACCGAGGAATGTACAGCCCTCCGAGATCGCATTGAGGATCTTGTTAAGTCGGGCCACCTTCAAAACTTCACCCAATCCTCAGGTAAAAGGAGATATGATAGCTACCATAATAAGAGGGAGCCCGGAAGGGGGAACCGTGAAAGAGCACCTTCGAGGTATAGATCACGGGAAAGAAGCAAGTCTCGAGAAAGAAATGATCAACAACAAAACCGGAATCAACCCAGAAGGGTGATAAACACAATAGCTGGGGGATTCGCTGGAGGCGGAGGCACATTCTCGGCACGAAAGAGACACCTAAGAGCAATCAGATCGGTCAACGCAGTAACACGGGTAGGGACGATCCACATGCCACCAATTACCTTCACCAACAAGGACTTCCAGGGTGTCGATCCGGTGCAAGACGATCCCATGGTCATCAGTGTAGAAATCAACAATTGTATAGTGAAGAAGACGTTGGTGGATCAGGGAAGTTCAACCGACATCTTGTATTGGAAAACTTTCGAGCAGCTGGGTATACCCGAGCGCGAATTGACACCTTACAACGAGCCCTTGGTTGGATTTTCTGGCGAAAGAGTGGACACCCGGGGAACGATAGACCTATACACCTACTTCGGGGAGGAACAACAAAAACGAAGAATTCGAGTACGATACGTGGTGGTGCATGCTAATACCTCGTACAACATCCTATTGGGCCGACCCTCCTTAAACAAGCTCCGAGCTATTGTCTCCACTCCTCACTTAGCTATGAAGTTCCCCTCTGAAGAAGGAACGGTTATCACTCTGCACGCCGACCAAAAGACAGCCCGCGAATGTTACTTCACCAGCCTAAAGGTACAACCAACTCCGAAGCCAAGGCGAGATGTCAATGTCATCGGCAATGTCTGCCAACAAAGGCCGATGGTAGACCTAGAACTTGACCTGAGAATTGAAGGCGAACACAGGGTCAAACCAATAGAAACAACAATCCCGTTTCAGCTAGGGAGAAATGAAGAACAGGTGACTTACTTGAGTTCCCAACTATCAGAAGGCGAGGCAAGAAGCATCAAGCAAATCCTCATGAAGTACTCGGATCTCTTTGCTTGGACGGCGGCCGACATGCCAGGCATCGACCCAAGTTTTCACTGTCACCGGCTCTCAGTGTGCCGGGATGCTAAGCCCATCGCCCAAAAGAAAAGAAAGATGGGAGGAGAAAGGGCCCAAGCGGTAAAGGAGGAGACAACCAAACTACTCCAGGCGGGATTCATTAGGGAGGTCAAATACTCCACGTGGTTAGCCAATGTAGTAATGGTCAAGAAGTCCAATGGCAAGTGGCGGATGTGTACAGACTACACAGATCTAAACAAAGCATGCCCGAAGGATGCTTATCCCTTGCCACACATAGACGCATTGGTCGACGGAGCGGCCGGCCATCAAATGCTGAGTTTCCTCGATGCTTATTCCGGGTACAACCAGATACCCATGTATCAACCCGACGAAGGAAAAACAACGTTCATCACGGACTCTGCAAATTTTTGTTACAAGGTTATGCCGTTCGGATTGAAAAATGCAGGGGCCACCTATCAGCGGCTCATGGACAACATCTTCCGCCAACACATAGGAAAGTGCATGGAAGTATATGTGGATGACATGGTGATCAAGTCAACCTCTACTAATAACCACATTCGGGATCTTGGAAAAATATTCGATGAGGTCAGGCGGCATCACATGCGCTTGAACCCGGCAAAATGTACCTTTGGAGTTGCCGGCGGAAAGTTCTTGGGTTTTATGTTGTCAAGAAAAGGTATAGAAGCTAATCCCGACAAGTGCCAAGCCATTGTCAACATGAGAAGTCCACGAAATGTGAAGGAAGTGCAACGGTTGGCCGGGCGCATAGCCTCACTGGCCAGATTCTTACCATGCATGGCGGACAAATCAAGGCCCATAATGTCCCTATTAAAGAAAACTACCAAGTTCCAATGGACCGAAGAGTGTGAGTCCTCATTCCAAAACTTCAAGACAGTGCTCACCGCATCACCACTGCTAGCAAAACCAGACCCTCAATTAGACATGATCATCTACATTGCGGTGTCTGACAAGGCCATCAGCACAGCTCTGGTACAGGAGCGAACAGAACAAAGGCCAATATACTTCATCAGCTGAGTCTTGCAAGAAGCGGAAATTCGATACCAACATCTCGAGAAAACGGTCCTGGCTCTGGTACACACAGCCCGACGCCTCCATCATTATTTCCAAAGTCACAAAATCGTGGTCAAGACAGATAGCCCAATTGTCAAAGTCCTAAGAAAACCCGAACTCGTAGGACGGATGGTTGCCTGGTCCATTGAGTTGTCACAATTTGACATTCGCTTTGAACCAAGAGGGTCCATCAAAGCACAATGCATGGCCGACTTCATAAATGAATTCTCTCCGGAATTGCCACCCGAACCATGCTTGTGGGCTCTACACGTAGATGGATCATCAAACCGGCAAGGTAGTGGAGCCGGTGTGATATTGGAGGGTCCGGGTAGCATAGTGATTGAACAATCACTCCGATTCAGTTTTAAAGCTTCTAACAACCAAGCCGAGTATGAGGCTCTTTTAGCCGGCTTGCGGTTGGCAAACGACCTAGGCATCAAACGGGTCAAATGTTGGAGTGATTCACAAGTAGTGACAGGACAAGTGAACGACAAATTCCAAATCAAAGAGCCAACACTACTTTTGTACTTCCATGCATTCCAAAAATTGAAATCTAATTTTGAAGACGTCCACGTTGAGTACACACCTCGGGAACTCAACGCAAGAGCCGACCAGTTGGCCAAGCTAGCAAGCAGCAAAAAGACTAGCCACTTGCGCAGCATGATACAACAAGAACTACCAAGTCCAAGCATCGGGGGAGCCGAATGCTTACACATCCAGCAAAGAAGCCCTAATTGGATGACCAGCATAGTTAACCATCTCTTGACTGGAGAGCTACCCACCGACCCCCTCGAAGCCAAGAAGATGCGAACCATGGCCGCACGATATACCTTAGTAGCTGGAGAGCTATATAAGAGGAGCATCTCGTCCCCCCTTCTGAAATGTTTAACACCTGAACAAGCACATTATGTCCTCCGAGAAATCCACAAAGGCATATGCGGAACTCACTCAAGAGGGCAAACTCTCGCAGCTAAGGTCATCCGGGCCGGTTACTATTGGCCGACTCTAACGGCTGATTGTACCAAGTTCGTTCAACAGTGCCAACCGTGTCAACAACATGGACCCCTAACGAATCAACCAGCCGAAGATCTACACTTCATCACGACCCCATGGCCCTTCTCGGTATGGGGAATGGATATCTTGGGGCCATCCCCGCCAGCAAAAGGGCAAGTGAAATTCTTGATAGTGGTCGTCGATCACTTCACAAAGTGGATCGAAGCAGAAGCTGTTGTCGTCATCTCAGCAAACAATGTGCAAAAGTTCTTCTGGAAAAATGTCATCACCCGGTTCGGAGTACCTCATGCTCTCATCACAGACAACGCCCTCCAATTCACGGACCGTCGTTTCAATGAATTTCTTGATGGACTTCATATCAAACACAGGACGACGTCGGTAGAGCACCCTCAGTCCAACGGTCAAGCTGAAGCAGCAAACAAGGTCATCCTAAGAGAGCTAAAGAGACGGCTCGGACAAGCCAAGGGACAGTGGCCCGATCACCTGCCCGAAATCTTGTGGGCATACAGATGCACCCCGCAAAGCTCCACTAAGGAAACACCCTTTCGGCTAACCTATGGCACGGACGCCATGATACCAGTCGAGATTGGAGAACCATCACTGAGGCAGCAACAATTCAGCGAGGAAACCAATGCCGAAGCACTTAGCGTGGAGCTTGATTTGCTTGAAGAAGCGAGAGATCGGGCACTCATAAACATGGAAGCATGTAGAACAAGAACATCCTGAAAACACAGAACCAAAGTCCGACCCCGAGAGTTTCACCAAGGCGACCTTGTCTGGAGAGCCGCTGGAGAAGCTAGAAAGGACAGGCTTCATGGCAAGTTAGCCGCCAATTGGGACGGACCGTTTCGAGTGCGACACAATCTTAATAATGGAGCTTACAAACTTGAAGAGCTCAATGGGAAGATCGTTCCTCGAACTTGGAATGTCACACACTTGAAGCACTACTTTAGTTAGCAAACATTATGTAATTGTTTCGGTGCACTCTTTTCCTTTTCCCAGGTTTTTTCCTCATAAAAATGTGAAGAGGTTTTTCTGAGAAAAGGTTTTTAACGAGGCACCCCATCAATGAAACAAACCCTTTTGAAGAAATACCTTACATTTTCTCTCGAGTTATTCTTAATAGACTGAACAACTTTGAACCCTCCCGAGTATTCACTCGGCCAAGGATGATCAAATTTAAACCCTCCCGAATACTCACTCGGCCAAGGATGATCAAATTTGAACCCTCCCGAGTACTCACTCGGCCAAGGATGATCAAAATTGAACCCTCCCGAGTACTCACTCGGCCAAGGATGATCAAATTTAAACCCTCACAAGTACTTCTACTCGGTAAAGGATGAACAACTTTGAACCCTCCCGAGTGCTCCTACTCGGTCAAGGATGAACAACTTTGAACCCTCCCGAGTACTCCTACTCGGTCAAGAATGGTCCAATTTAAACCCTCCCAAGGTACACTCACTCGGCTAAGGCCAAATACTACAATCTCTCCCAAGTAGAGTACTTCGTCAAGATTAAAGTAAACCCTACCGAGTACCCTCACTCGGCTAAGGACGCATACCGCAAACCCGCCCAAGTTAAGCGTTTGGTCAAAATTGATTACGCAAAGCCTCCCGAGTATCCTCACTCGGTTGAGAATGAATACTACCTTTCCCAAGATAAAACACTTGGTCAAAGAAAATACATTCCAAAGTTCATCACTCGGCTAAAATTAAACCACGAATTACAAGTCATCCTTAACCACACACAAGGCTGACATAGTATACACATCCAGGCAGGATTAAAATACAAAAACTTAGAAAATAAACATGATAGAAACAACCTCGTCATTTACGCAAAATAGAGCGAGCACTACCGGCTCGAGGTACAACCAAGTATGAGACCAACGGGTCACAGTAAACAAAAGTATAACCCCCTAACATACAGCAAAAAATCCCACCCCTATACATCATTCACAAAACAGATGTATTTAAGACCCTAACTAATCAATCATCAGTCACGGTGTGGTCACTCATCGTTCTATCCTCAGCCTAGATGGTAGTGCCGGGGTCTTCAGGTGCTGCAGATCGGGACGGAGCTACCTCATTAGGTTTGGCATCCTCGGGCATCTCGTCATACTCCATATACACCCCTTTGTAGAAATCCTTGTTTACTTCAAAAGTGAAACCTGAAGGGATGCTACAGAAATACTGAGCCTGACGAACGGCATGCTTGAAGCCTGACTCATGCTCATGAATGATCTTGTTCTCACAATCAATCCGAAAACCCTCCATAGACGCATCCATGTCGGCCTTAGCCTTGGCCTCTCGCTCCAAAACCTCCTTCAACTCGATAATCCTCATCTTCTCGGCTTCTTCGGCATCCATATCACGACCCTCCATATCCTCAAAAGCTTCCTTCAGACGTGCCACTTCAGCCTCAAGCTCCAACTTCTCAGTAGATGTCACCTCGTGCGCCTCCACCGAATGTTGCAATGCATCCCTTGTCTCTTCTAGAGACCTCTTCAACTTGTGTGCATCCGCTAGAGGCTCCAAAGCCAACTTCCGAAGAATTGCAGTAGCACGAACCTGAAGTTCACAAACCATTGCCCACTGAGACAAAGGAGTCGTCGACTCAAGCATTCGATGCCCTTGTTCAGAAAGAAGATCTGGCGCTAGCATCTTAGAAGGCCGGACGTCAGGATCAAGGAAGTCACGTGCAATAGAAAGGAAATAACGGACTCCCTTCATTGTCGTAAAAATAGTTTCGACCAACCACTAGATCAATCATCACCTTTAAAAACCCAGCTTTGAAGCCCTTAAAAGAAGAAGCGAATGGCTTCAAAAGAGGTCGATCCAAATGCCTTATTAATGACAACCACTTCACGGTCCTACTGCTAGGGCGCGTGCAGAAAAAGTGTAAAAACAAACCAACACTCGGTTCAATATAGTGATATCTACATAAAACTCGAAAGGCTTGTACTGCCGCCCACCCATTCGGGTGAAGTTGAGTGGGAGCCACGTTCAAGACTCAAAGCACACCCATCTGAAACTCGTCGAATGGAAGTGAGAGGCCAAGGTCTCTAAACAAACATTCATACATGTAAAAGAAGTCACCCTGGCCTTCTCGCTTTGCAAGAAAAACCAAGTCAACCTCACCAACACCCTCTGATCGGCAACGACGAAACATTATAGGGTAAGGGTCAAGATTTTCCCATCTGGCCAATCGACACCTTTTTAACAAACGCTCTACGGCAACCCGCTCGTTAAAACGTGAGTGATAGGCCGCCACCTCCCCATCAACCCATTCATATCCCGGAATCTCACATGGGGGAACTTTTGGCGATAGTCACGCGGATCCATAGTAGCATTGCGAATCTCTGACCCAGAAGTCTCTCCCGAACTATCAGTAGCATCACCACCTAATAGTTGCCGGGAAGAACTAGCAAGCATCTCGACTTCACTAAAATGGGAAGTCTCTCCCGAGCTATCAGCAGCATTACCACCTAATACTTGCCGGGACGAACTAGAAGACATCTCGACTTCACTAAAATGGGTCGAATACCCCGCACTGGACGAAGAACTAGTAAACCAAGAGGACCTTGAGGACCCTTCCGTCTCTTCAACAGTAACCATTTCACAACCCCAAAAGACCCAAATTGAAAAAATATGCACGACGTACCTTGACAAGTATTCGGGAGAGAGCAGCGGGCTATTTCGAAATGCAAACGTGAATTACGAACAAGCATATAAAGACCACCTATAAATAGACACCAATGTCACACAAAGGATACATCGTCAATATAACGGATACGTCCGTAATTTAAGCACGAAACCCAAAGAGATATGCCTATAAGACAAACGATGCAGTTACAATACCAATATACAACCACGGTAACGTCAACATAGTAACATTACCAAAGCAACCGAGTACATAACAGTGTTACGATACCTCCCTCGGTTAAACACCTTTTCAGTCATCCGTACATCC